GAAGGAGGAATAAGAATGAAAAAGAAGAATTCCATGAGTTAGTGTCTCTGCACGGGGAGCACAGGCAGGGAGACAGGTATGAAAATTAGGTCGTCCTAATGCCGGATCCCACTATTTACCGAACGGGGTAATTGCTTCACGTCGGTATGTATGTGGGGTACGTTTTAAGGATTCACCTCTTCACAATATCATTAAACACTACCACCAACGGCACCACTGCCAGACGGCATTAGTCGGGTCAGAAGATAAACTTATATAATAGTATTTAGGAAACTCGTTTACGCGATCAACATTAAAATATAACTAAATAAATAGATCAAAATCCTATCGAGATTCGTTGTAATCAAAAAATAGAAGTAACTATCCTATTTTAATCATGTTATAGAATAGCACCATCGTACAAAATAGTCAAAAAAAAAATGAAAAAACGGTCCCATCGAGACTCGTTAATATAATCTAAGAAATAAAAATCATTCTGAATGATCTTATTTTTCAATGGGTAGAGATGATCACGTATGGAAGAAACAAGTAAAGGGGGTTGATAAAAATATAGATAGTAAACGGATAAAGATGAAATGAAATAAAAATTGGATATTCGGTATGTATGAAGCGTGTGTGTCAGAGCTATGCGATTCGATCATGTCTGACTTCGGTTAACGCAAATACGATTTTGCTCGTAATACTGGCTGTGCCCTTATTTCCGAAGAAACACGTGTCTTGCGAGCTTAAAGCGGAACAATTATTGGTCCCCTATTTCTAAAGCCATACTTTCATTGGCCAATGGATTAAGTAACCACGTGGTGTGTTAGTATATAACGAAGGGTGAACTAAGAAACTAACGGCAGTTGTGCTTCAACGGTGCAACGGAAATAACGAGTGCGAACTCACATTTTTTTTCATCGATTATTGTTCGTGCAGTGTCTTTTGATGACTTGACTGTCGTCGATTTTTTAAGTGCCACCATTTCTAAGTCTTGCGATATTTAAATATTTCAGTTTCTTCCGTCAAGGGCTGCGTCAAGGTTTTGTCTTCCTTAGTTTCTCTATTTGATTCTGTTATTTTAAATTTTCTTTTTAAGGGATACGTAATGTTTGTGTCAAAAGAAATAGGATACAAATTTGTGACAAATTTTCTAATCCAATTTTCTCGAGATAAGTTACTCGGGAAAAGAAATTTCTTCTGTAAGCATCACGTGAATGTTGGATTTTCGATCAACGATATGGATCGTCGGCAAGGATCCTTCTTGGATTGCAAATGTTAAAATTTGAAAGAAAGGGACGCAATGGAAACTTTCGAGAAAAAGGGCTTCGAGATGTACGATCTCCTCTTCTTCTTCTTCTTCTTCTTCTTTTATTCTTTCTTTGTTAAATGAAATAGTAATATTAGATAATACTAAGGATACGCGTATATAATAAAAGGGGGGAACAAAAAAAAGAATGGAGGATAAAAAGAGTTTGGTAGAAAGTCGGTGAGATATGCAAACGACACTAGGTTTCTAGTAAGTCGAACGTATATACTTTGAAGAGAAGAGATCGAAACCACTGAATTTTGTATTCGAATTGAAACGTTCTAGCCGAGCTATGCAGTTGCCAGCAGATGTCCAAGCACCCACAGCTCTAGTATTTTACCGACTTACTTTACTTATTTTAGCAAACGGGAAAAATATTCTCGCACTATATGCACGCGCATAACTAATATGCATATATCCTATCTATAGTTGCCTATCTTACATTTTTCTAACATTTTTTCTTTACCGATCAAATATCGGACACTTTTAAAGAATGTCAATTGCAATTGTTACCTTAGCTATGTCGTATATAATGTCCGTGATCGCGTTGTTAAAAAATAAAGAGAAGTAGACATTAATTACGTCGATATTTTAATGTTGAATGATAAAAAGAAATGTTACAATTGTTGAGACAAATGTTAATGAACAAAATTTGTCGTTGTTTATTCGTTCTTTTAATCATAGGAATTGATTAAACGATCTTTCGTTTCTCTAAACTCTAAACTCCAACTCTCTAAATCTTTATAAATGATTATTATATGGCAAAATGTATAACTAAACGAAAGATCGAAAAAAATGATATCACAGACGCGATCAAGGAACACTTATTGGACCCCAGTGTAGCTGCTGGCCACTGCACAAGATTAGACATAAGACTCTTGTGCGTGTGACAGCGGCTATGATGGGGCTTCCACGGAACATCAAGGTCGATACGTCGATGGAAATGTGCTACACTACTATACTATTGTAAGAGAACCCTAAAAAACTTTTAAGTTTTGATCACCTTTAATCATCTTGACTTCTTCGACAATTTACTTTGATGCAACGTTCTTTCAACGAGACCAAAGATTTGTCATTGCAAACTGTTCTTTCATAATTATTGATATTCAATATCTTTAGAATTAAAAACAAATGAATTTTCGACGTCGACCTTTTGTGTGTGTGTGTGTGATTAGGAAAAAGAAAAATAAATCCTGTTCTTTTTTAATCTACTGTGGGAATATAATTAATTGCCATTTCGAATGTTATGTAATAATTAGAAATTTTCTTTGTAACAAATTATTTTTTATCTAGATAACATTTTGCTATTATTTCTCAAACATCTTTTGCAGCATATTAGAATGATCTATTTGGATGATAATGTGTCATGGTGTATGATATTATAAAATTTATAATAATGTTATCAAGTGTCGTTGAAAATATACAGTTTTATATGTAATTTACATGTTTTAAAATAAAAGAAAGATACATGTGTTTTTATTTTTAATACTTATAAATATAACAAATATTATATATATATATATAAGTATATTAGGAAACATTAATATATGCAAATGATGTAATGTAATTATATAATAATAATAATAATCTCTTATTATAGATTATTATTATTAGATATTATTTTATGTTCAAAGATAAAATATACGATAAAGACCTCATTTTTCTCATGTCATATTGGTTTAAACAAAAAAACTATCCTATCCGATCTTTTCCGGTTATACAATACACAGTTTCAAATTTGTTTTTATATTTTGAAATTAATTATCAAACATAAGCTTAAATTTTAAAATAACTGACAGATTAAATGTAATTTAGAAATTATTTGAATTTCGGTATCAAAAATAATCTCTGAAGTCGTATCATTGTCTAACTAAAAAGATATTATAATATATGATTGTGACAAGAAGAATAAGAATAGAATTCAAAGTGCAATAATTTCACAAACAAAACTTTCTTACCAAAATAACGCTGACACATTTTCTAATACTTCTATCTTTTTATAATTAACACGAAAATAAACTTGGAAAAATTTGAACCCTAGTGTCACAATTGAAAAATATTTTTGTAGCGACCTGCTGTCGATAAGCAGATTTCTACTTTATCCTATGCAACGACTGGCGCCGCCATTCTCACTGCTCGTTCTTTGGCAAACTACTTGAGCGCTAGCACTCTATCATAGCTAACAGCGTTTCTATGGGAACGTTAAGGTTTCCGTAGTTACAAAGACTTTCTTCTTTCGTTGTTAGAAAATAAATTAGTTAGTCAAGAAGTTGCACTTATTCGCTCCACAACGTATTAATCCTCAACGCATTTTTCGTACCCGCTCGGATCACGTCGGGGTCACCAATTATGTAGCGGCAAGAATCAGGAACTAGAATACTATTGGTTTGAACTCTGATCACCACTACTATTTTTATGTAACATTTATTTATTTATAAACTATTACAGAACAAAACGAAAACAAGAACAAAAACGGATAACAAAAATGCGTTGAGGATTAATACGTTGTGGAGCGAATAAGTGCAACTTCTTGACTAACTAATTTATTTTCTAACAACGAAAGAAGAAAGTCTTTGTAACTACGGAAACCTTAACGTTCCCATAGAAACGCTGTTAGCTATGATAGAGTGCTAGCGCTCAAGTAGTTTGCCAAAGAACGAGCAGTGAGAATGGCGGCGCCAGTCGTTGCATAGGATAAAGTAGAAATCTGCTTATCGACAGCAGGTCGCTACATTTTGTATTAGTTAAGCGAACTCTAGCGGATATTAGAATAATTATATGTACTGCTGCATTATCGACAGGAACATTTTTCGATTAAATTCTTTCTAATACTTGTAAAATACTTAAATATATTTAAAATTTTTCTGTCATCGAGCAACGACTAGAAAATAAAAAATATCCTAATTTAGTTAATAACTAGCGTTTCAATTGCTCCATTTTAACTCGATGTTCTGTTTCGCAGCAGTCAATACATAACGTATGATGTACATTACACGCAAATAAAAATCGATAAATGTAATAAAAAACAAATATTTTGATCTACTAATATCAATATCTTTCTCTCTTATTAAAAAATCTTGTTGCACTCGTTCATATAATAAATAAATATGTATTAATTTATTATTTCCAGGATAACCAATAGCATTGCTCATCGTACAAGAATCCTCGAATACGATTGGCTAGTTAGTAAAACTTATCTAAGCCAATCGTATTCGGTACCAAAATAATTTCTTTAAAAACTCTGATGCAGTACATTAGCGTTGAGATATTAAATAATAAATATAGATTGTAGATTCTTATAAATAATCAAAAACAAGAGATAGAAATACGGAGCAATAAAGTTCAAGGCAAATTATGTGTCGTATCGAAACGATACACTTGTGTTACCATTAAAATTTAAACGAAAGCTAAAAAAAAGCAATCAAAAAGGGGAAAAAGATATCTGTTAATGTTTATATATTATTTTGAAAAATGAATCTCTTTTTAAAACAATTGAAATAATCGTATATACTTGATATCCGGTATAAATTATGATCTCAGGATAAATCTGTTATATATAAAAAAAAAAATCTTGTTTATTTTCGTCGAAGTTTTATCAACGATAAATATTTTTATAAAATCATAAATAATATTTTTCGATCTTGAATTCCCGCTATTACTAGTCTTACACTCACCCACAGTGCTATACGGCACTGGTTAATAAATTGTATACATATATCCTTAGTTATCTGCAGCGTCGCGCAATAGCTTACAAGCGTTCATCCATCCTGCAGTTCATGCGTAACCTCGTTGCGTAAAATCTTGAAAAAAATATTTTACCGAGCATTGCAGTCTTTCGTGAGAAAAATTAAATAACATTAAATTATAAATATATTATTATATATATTACTCTCAACAGACATAATTATAAAAGATCTTACGAAATATTTGAAATCATGAGTCTCATAAGACAAAATTTTCATCTAGACTGCGAAAATGGATTAAATAAACAAATCAACATGGAATTGAATGCAAGTTACGTCTATTTGTCTATGGTACATAATTAATATATCACATATTTTTTATGGAGATATTCTGTCGTATATTTTGTATTATTTGTATCGAGACAGCGAATCGTTTCTGTCAACTCGGTGTTGTTAGGAGTTATTGATTATTTTCAGGCTTACTACTTCGATAGAAGTAATGTCGCTTTGCCGGGTCTCTACAGATACTTCAAAAAAGCATCCGACGATGAACGTAAACATGCTATGAAGTTTATGACGTATCAAAACAAAAGGGGCGGCGATATAATATTAACGTCCATCGACGCACCGCTGACAAGCGATTGGTTGTCTGCAAAAAATGCTATGATCGAAGCATTAAATTTGGAAAAAAAAGTTAACGAGGTATGTTTTTATTTAATTAGTTATATCGGCTATACTTTCGATAAACTTTTACGTAAGCATTTTCACGTATTGTTACTTTGTGTTTTCTACGAAGCACAATGCCAGTGTGTCTTTTACAAGTTTATTTTCGCATGTGTTAGTTAATTTAATTAATAAACATACGTTAACATTACGTACGTTGTCAAAGTATTCCATCGTGGTTAGTTCGAGTTACACAACTTTCTTGGAAACAGGGGGTGTAACTCAGTGGTAGAGTGTCCGCTTCGCATGCGGAAAGTCCTGGGTTCAAATCCCAGCTCCTCCAACGCCTTTTTTTTTCTTCCTTTTATTTAATTGAATTAACCAATTAATAATGTTGACATTTTCGATATCAAAAATATTAATATTATTTATTTAAACATATTAATTAGTAAAAATTTCATTATTATTTATTTATTAATTTTGAATATATTGTCTTTTATTCTTTCTCACCTCCAATTTATTTTTACAGTGTCTTTTCTTTCTTTAATTATTTCTGCAAAAGAAAGAAATATAATCAGGAAATGAATTATTACATTTATAATACATTTTATTGTTAGAGTTTATTGGAATTACACGCCATTGCTGCGAAACACTCAGATGCCAATTTTATGGATTATTTGGAGACAGAATTCCTTCAAGAGCAGGTGGATTCCATCAAGAAGATCGCCGATTATGCTACTAATCTCGAAATGGTAGGGGAAGGTCTTGGAGTATACATGTTCGACAAGGAAATGATAGAATGAAACGACAGCGCATATTTTTTCCTACGAGTTATCTAATTACATCATATAAATTAATAAATTTTATCATTAACGTATTATATATAACGTATTATATATACATATATATATATATATATAAGAGTGAACCCATACAATTTGTATTTTATTTTTAAAATTATTTTGTATCAGACCAATTTTTCTTTCATCGGATTTAAAAATTGCAAACTTAGGAATTTTTTATTTTACAACGTCTCAAAAGAGAGTAATTGAATTTTAAATTATCTTTAAACTTTCGGCTCACCTAGTATTTATATTTGTATGTATGTAATACATGTATGCACGGTTCGCACGTATACACGTACTCATACATGTAATACAAAATTAGAAATAAGAATATATGTATAAATGCATATGTCATTGTTATCTACGATTCTGCGACGTATAAAAAAAATGCCAATCCGTATAGCTTTCGCTTTCATTCTCGATTGAAACCATAATCCATAATGATCGTTTAAAAGGAAATTATAATAGTCGAAATACGTACGTATGTAATAAAAATAAAAATATTAAAAAGTGCTAATGTAAGGAAACAGATGTTACAAAGTCAATTTGACCCAAATGTCGAGGATTAAATTTATGTAAAAAAAAAAAAAAAAAAAACAAATATGTTGGCAGTGTTGCGAAGACGCAACTGTCTATGTAAATTAAAAATTAAAATATGTCTAATTAAAGATGGTCAATTATTTCGAAAGTAAGCTTCTAAGTAATCGTAATAAATGTAAATATATAGTTTAAATTATTATTCTTTTCACACGCAATCGTGCGTTATCAAATTTTAGTAACTTTTTAAATACTAATATTCAACGGGATATGACTACAACGATTTTGAAAGAAAATTCAAATAAAAATTTGCTCGATGACAATGCCATCTGTATCGATAAACCAATGGAATGGCCGACCGGGAAAAGAAGTCATTTCAAATTTCACGAAGAGACCGAAGCTGCTATGAATAAACAAATAAATGCTGAATTTAAGGCTTTTTATTATTACTTATCTATGGTAAGAAAATAATATGATATTTCAAAGTATGCATTAAACAAACATAATCTTTCCATTTATCTTATTTCTTACAAACATACCATGAATGCGTGTACACGAGCAAGGCCGCATATTTTGGGCGCGTAGACGTTGCATTGCCAGGTTGCGAGTCATTTTTTATGCAAATGCATCAAGAAGAGCATGAGCATGCTTTGCAATTTATCGATTATGTTAAAATGCGCGGCGGCCAAATAGAATTGTGTCCGATTTTACCACCAGTTGATCCTGATTGGAAGTGCCCTCTTCGTGCATTTAAAGTAATCTCGAATAAATAAACATACATTAGTATAAGTATAATATTGCATTTTTAATTTCATTTATAAATAATCATCATTTGTCTATAATTATCGCAGACTGCCCTGGGACTTGAGATAGAAGTCAGCGAAAAATTGGTCGATGTAAATGCAACAGCTGAAAAGCATGGTGATTTAAACGCAAGTGATTTCATTGTCACGGGTTTTATGGAAAATCAAATGAAAAGCGTCAATGAAATGGCAAGATTCGTAACAATTTTATCAGGCATAGGGGATCAAGCATTGGCACGTTTTATTTTCGATAAGGATTTGCTCGATAATCATGTATCGTCGGAATTTAACGTTTTTAAAAAAAGACTACATTTGAAGATAAATCAGAAGTAAAAGATTAAAGTCGTTCATCTTTGATAGTTTTTTTGTTGCGTACCTAATTATAACTTTTGTACGCTTGTATATAAATGCGTGTGTGCATTATACATATTAGAAATAAAAAAAATACCATCCATATTAATATCGTAATAATCCCTGAAAATCAATAATAATCGATAAAACAAAATAGAATATTACTATATATAGTTACATTTAACGTTGGAACGTGTAGGATATTGGCAGCCATGTTTGTAAGAACAATGATACTAACAAAGCACAAGTAAGCGTGAGTCAGTTTATGCAATAAAGGCGGGGGAAAAGTGGTGAGATATTATTTGAACAAATATACGATTAAAGTTAGTTAGAATTGCTTTCGATATATTGACGTTACAATATTTACAATAGAATTTGAAATAGATAATAATTTAAAGGAAACGCGTATAGCTTTGAAACGTAAGTTGAACGTACGTTACACAGTTTCTCGTTGACGCGTAATTAACCTTACTTTTTTTCTCTCTTGTCGTAAAATAAATTTAGATATCGCAATTTATTAATCATTTTTTGTTAATCACGGATGGACCCCTATCATTATTTATATTTCGAGGGTAAGTTTAATAATGGCTAGTGACTTATCAAGTGGATGTAACGAATCTCTCGAAGTTTTGGATGAAAGAGAGGAAGGTGAAATATCTTTGGAAGATGTGAGCTCTTCCGAGGAAGGACACCTCGGTTACGGATATGGGATCAAAACTGGAAGATGCGTTAATTGTCTTTCCACTCAACGTTGTACGCCATGGTGCACTTCTGCTAAATATTACCATCACAAGAATTCTAATAGAAAAGGTATCAATTTATTTTCTTACATTTCTTAAAACAGTGAATATTCTTAACCCTTAACAGCCACACACACGAGGTGACTAGTATATGGTAATTGGGTTACATTAGGCTGAGGTGTGACCATTAAGGGTTAAGTTTATGAGAGCACGTTACGTGCTCTCTTATTTGAAAGATATATTTAAGTAAATATGTATACATGAATTTGATACCCACTGTACAGATTTTTATTATTTATATTTATATATTATTTGTCTAACGAAATAGAAATTTCTTTCTTGTTTTTTCCATCAAGATACGGTCCAAGAAAAGGAAAATCGACATTATGCAAAAGACTCAGGATCCGCAGGAGTCAAGCATACTGCCTCTACGTTACAAGAAAAGAATGATGATCTTGTACCTATTTCTAGTGACAGTGATATGGAAATTGTTGGTCTTGTGGATAATTCTAAACAGAAGCGCTCTATGTCAAGATCAAGAAGTAAGAAAAAGAAAAAGAAGGAAAGGAACCATGTTTCCAGCACCAATGACGACAACTTGGTTTCTTCGTCCTCAATAAATGTTGTTGTAGGAGAGACTACGTTAAAACACAACAATGACAATTCTAAAGGAGACCGTTTGTCCAGATCTCATCGTAGAAATTTAAGTCCGTTGCATAGGAGATCAAGAATAACTACTAAATCTCCAACTAGAAGACACAGACCGTCAACATGGTTCAAAATGCCTCTTAGGAAATCAAAATCGCCTATCATGCGTAGCAGATCGCCGGTATTGAGAAAATCCCCTCGTAGACTTAGATCTCCAAAAAGATCTGAGCGTCGATCGCCTACAAGAGCGATATCAAAAAAGATGTCAAAAAATGAACAGTTGCCTTCGTCCAATGCTTTTAATGAGAATGTCTATGGCGATGTAAATAAATTATTAAAGAAAGTAAGACGTTTAGATTCTGTTAGAATTCAAGTGCAAGATGAAAATGTTAAAAGCAAAGAACACAGTTCGTCATTAAAAGAAAAATTATCAAATATGATAAAAGGTATGTCAGACAATAACGATAATGTAACTAATTGTACCAAAGAGAAGATGGTTACGTATGTGAGAATAAAAAACGATGGCGACGACGAAGAGGATTTAGCATTGTTGAGACAAAAAGCGTTAGAAACGAAGCAAAAGCGTAATGAGAAAAACAACGAACAGAGCAAAACAGATTATGAAAGTAAAACGTCCAGTTATGACGACGATCATGACGAAGAAGATCTCGAGTTGCGTATGATAGCATTACGTTCTGCAGTATTGAAGAAACATCAAGACAGAGTACAGAGAGGCGTAAAGACTAAAAAATATGATATTTCCTCTATTTCTCGTAGTAAAAGTCCATTTAATCAGAGCTTTTTGGATAGTATATCTATGCCTGGTGAAACACATATTGATTCGTTGCCACCAGCTGCTCAAATGTTTTCTTCTTCGAATGAAGTGATGCATACTGAAGATATGGAACTAGATACTGATATTGAACAGGAAAAAGAAAAATTGCCATATTCTCCAACAGACAATATTACTAATGATATACCCATAGACACGCACCTGTTAGGAATGCAAACATCTGATGTTTCGTTTATTAATCTTAACAAAAGAACTAATAGTCCATTTTTCGATAATACAAATAATCAATTGGAACACGGAACTTTAAGAACAGGCATTATTGAAAACAAAAGCTATTTATCGAATATGATAAACTGTGCAAATACCGAAAGTACATTTTATGACATTAATACAGATGCTCCTTATTCTCCATCTGATTCCATTGAAACTAGCAAATCTGATATTATTACTACCAAACAAATTAATGAATCCATATCTACCTCTCAATTTAGTGGTACACATTGTAATATAACTAACGATATATCTAGTACCAATGAAAATTACATGCCAATGGATATTAATATGGGTCAAGAGAGACCTTATTCACCGACCGATGCTCCTATATATGACCCTGATCTATCTCAAACGCTTCCATTGATACAAACATCTTTTTCAAAAACTTCTGATTTAATGTCCCCAGAAATGATGTACGATCATTCTTATGGAAATTTGAACATATTGAAAAGAGAAAATCTACATGGAAAAGAACATGTTAACGAGATGGAGACTTTAATTACAAGAAATCAAAATGATTTTCCGCATTTCTTTGAAGAAGGTTCTATGTCTCCCAATGATTCAATGGTAACGATTGATGATCTTCCGGATGCAGACGAAGTTGATCGAGAAAAATGTTTATCTTCAAACTTGGAAAATAAGGATAGTATGAATAATAATCCAACTAATAAAGCAGAAAACACGAAATTAGCTGACGAACCGCTCTATATGCATGGTGTTCCAGATGTTACCAAAGATATCAATAAAATTCCTACTCTTATCAATAGAACATTGGTTCCTGCAACAATATTAAAATCAAATAAACAATTGCAACAACCATGGCCTATGAAAAAACATGAAAATCATATTGAACCAACATTCAAAAGTGCCGAAATGCAACCAATTCCAATTGATTTAAATGTCAATGCAAAATTAACCACTCAGTTCAAACCTATGAAGCTTACATCTGTTGCAAAAAAACCACAAACAATATTAACTACACCTGTAGCATTTAAAAATTGCTTAAATGACGAGAGTATAAATAACGTAACAGAAGACGCGCATGCTACCTTACCCAAAGAACAAGAAATTAGTCCTAATATTTCATCAGCTAAGTCAGATAAAAGTGTTCTTATTAATATTACAGATTCAGTGCCTAAGAAAAAGAAACGTGGAAAAAGAAGTAAAAGGAAGAATAATAATACTATTCAAAATATTAAAATTACAATTTCTAATGAAAATAAAAAGAAATTTGAGAGTGACTCTGGTGCATCAGGAGAAACAAATGAAACTATGATGAATATGGAAAGTGAATTACCATCTAGCATTATTCACAAAGAACAAAATAGTATATCTAATGCAGCAGTTCTCACTGATTCTGATAATGTGAAATTAACAACTAAATTGAATCAGGAAAGTAATTCACATCTATCTAATGAAATAGAAAAAGATAGTATTGTACAACATCTTACAAATGTAGAGAGCAATAATAATTCATCGCTTAATGTAGTAAATGAACACATACCAGAGAACACAAAGAGAAGAAGGCCAAGCATAGACGAAGACGAGGAAGCTTTGAGGGCAAGTTTATTAGCATCATTAGCAAAACGCTCAAAATCTTCGGATATCAGTTCTTGCAGTGCATCTGTGGTTACCACAACTGCTACATTATCATCTATTAGTAATGTCCCAGTTGTACAGAAAATACAACAGACGGATACGGCAATACCCACGTATCAAGTTCAAAGCAATAATACTATGCCCCATTCATTATCACAATTCGCATTTGCATATAATTCTGGAGATGAAAAAAATCAGGTGCCCGGTGCGCCAGTACCATCTACTGATATTGCAAAAGAAAATGCTATCGTCAATGATACGGCTTCCCGTTTAACATATATGGCAAATTGTAATAAGAAAAGACCACTTCCTTTGTTAAAAGGTCCAACAAAAAAATATCTAAAAAAAGTCTCAATTCCTGCAAGTACAAAAGTTGTAAATAATGCTAAAAAATACCAAAATACAGTAGTCCAAAAGAAATTAATTTTACAAAAAGCAGTATCTAATTATAATGCTGACAAATTGTTAGATAATAAATCAATTCTTAATATAAGGCCTTGCGAAAATAAATGGATAAGTAATACAAAAGTCATATCTTCAGACATGCAACGCATTGTGATAAATTTAGGATCTGACACTGAGGAAAGCGATTCGGATTATGAAAGATATAAAACTAATTCTATTTCTGTGTCAAGTTCGGATAAAGTAGAAAAACGTCCGATTTTAAATATTCCTACGACGGAATTTGAGAGAAGCGTAGATCAATTTTTAAGAGATGTTAGAAAGAAACAAGAAAATGCAGCAGCTAGCAAACAAACTATTCCTTTGCATAACGTAACTAAAAAGAATTTGTCATCCGTTACGTCAGTAGAAAGTAACATTTCTCCTGCTGTTCATACACCCTTGGTAAGTATTTTACGTATACATTTGTGCGCATACGTGCGTCTAATAAAAAGTTGGACCAAAAATTAATTACTCGTTTGTGAAAATAATTTTTTAGGCAGTGCGACATCTTCCAGTATCAAAGCAAGAGGAGTATCGTCGATTGAAACAACAAATTTTCGAACGTGAAATATTAAAAAAGAAAAAGACCGCAGAAACTGGTACTTTTAAGACAACAAACAATATTAACAGCGCATCGTCACATTCCACAATGTCTGATAGTTTAAGCAAAGAATCGTTGCCATTGTCTAAAGAGAATCCAATTGGACTTGTAAAGACTCAAAATCTAAATTTACAAATATCTATAAAAAATAATAACGAAAGAAATATCGAGGTGGTAAAAAGGAATACAAATTCCTCGACATCTTCGGTTATTCCAAATTCTAAAAAAAGATCTTTGCAAATGATTGTTTCAAATCCTTCCAATGCACAAACGTCGAACGAAAAAGTATCTGAACACAGTAATAAGATAATGAAAACAACAGAAAATAAATATCCACAAGATACAAACAAGTTTAAAATAGCAATGGCTTCGTTGAAAGTATTAACTACGGACGAAGTCAATCATAAACTTGTTCAAATTCAGGTAGACCAGCACGAATCTGATCGAACAATAATGATAAATAATAAAACAGATTTATCGGAAAGAACAGACTTAATAAATACTGAAAACAAACAAGATAATAATGTAAAAAAAAAGAAAGATGATAGAATTGATGTTGAATTTAGTCAGGATCATGCTAAGGAACACAACGAAATGAATAAAGAAAATGAACAAGAAATGAACAGAGATAACAGTAAGTTAACTATCGAAGATATTAATAATTTGGACACGTTGAATGTAAATTTATCGATAGAAGGTGAAAATTTACACAACAAAGAAACTACAGCAAAGGATCAATTATTATTTACGTTGGTACAAGACGAAGCAGCAAAAAAAGATGATACAGATTTAAATTTATCCAATATTGAAAGTAGCTATGAAAATGATATAATATTAGCGACAAATGACATGAAAATAAATAAAATACAAGATCTCGAAGAATTACAGGAAAGTATAAAAAAGGATGTTACAACAGAATTAAATTCTCTTGTTAATCTTCCGAGGATAGAACAAGTACGACACTTAATGGACACGGAACAAAAATTAGTTATGAAAAGGTACAATTGATTTCTTTTTTTTTTTTTTTAAATATATATGTATACATTTTTATTATTTAATTGTAAGAAAAGATACTTCAAAAAAAGACAATTTATTTATGATACAGGTACTTAGTATTAGACAATCTTGCTGAAATGTCAGGAGATTTACGTCAATGGAATATGGAGAGAGATTTGCAAACAAGTTGCGTGGAAGAAATTAAAAAATTAAAAGAACAATTAAGATTGGCGGAGAAAAAGTTACAAGATCATCTTAATAAAATTAATAGTATAGGTCCTAAAGTAATGGATACGCGTAACAAAATCAATAATGGAAGACGAGAATGTTTTAAATTGTCGAGAATCTGTAAAGTTTTAGGCACCAGAGTTATAGGACTGGATTATAAGTATGAATGAATTTTCATGATTTATAATATTTCTAAAAGGAAAAGCCTTCTTGTGTATCCCATGAAATTATATATTTGTTTTTAATTTTTTTTTTCTTTATTAGAATACCTAAAGCTGGAGCAGATCTTTTAGAGAACAAATTAAAAGAGGTCGTCAATCATTCACGACAACTTTCCCAAAAGAAAGTACCTTCTGTTCGTGTATCAGAAATGCATAAAAATGTTATTCCTGAAAAACAGACTGAACCAGAACCTGTAACCGAACTTGAATCCGAATCCCAACCCGAACTTGGACCCGAATTCCAAACTGAAACTGAACCCGAATTCCAAACTGAAATTGAACCCGAATTCCAAACTGAAACTGAATCCAAATTCCAAACTGAAACTGAACCCGAATTCCAAACTGAAACTGAATCCAAATTCCAAACTGAAACGGAACCCGAATTCCAAACCGAACCCGAATCCGAATTCCAAACCGAACCCGAATCAGTACTTCAAACTGAACCCGAATCTGTATTCCAAACTGAACCTGAACTTATAGAAATAGAAATACCAATATTAGAAAATTCTGTTGTAATAGAACAACAGGATAAGGATCTTTCTGAGAATAATAATATAATGATATCGGAAAATGGTACTGCAGTAACATTAACGAATACTCGGAAATCATTGAAACAAGAAAATGAAGAAGAAGAAACGGCAGAAGAAAGTGATGAAGAAAGCAAGAAGAGAGATAGTACTTTTCCCAAAACAAATGATATAATAAGGCATGATCATTATTACGATAAAACGACAATTGGAGCAGAATATTGTATAGATAATAATCTTACCAGAAAGAATGGAGATTGTGATATTATTTGGTATTCGAAAACGGACCCAAAACATTGCCCAAACAGGGCAAGAATTTTACAAGAAATCGATGATCGGAAAAAGAAAGCTATCGAACCTTATGTTTCGATGTTAACACATTTGAAACCATCAAGGTTTGTTCTACGATGTAATATGAGTGTATCCATAGATGTATTTACACATCTTTGCGTTTTTTATATTTTTTAATTAGGAACACGGATCCCCATGGAATACTTTGCCCGTACGAGTTAATGGGAACTTGCAACGACGGAGATTGCCGATTCGTTCATCAATCTGTCATCATGTATGATCATCAGTCAACGGGAGACAAAACGTTAGAAGAAAAACAAGGTGGTTCTAATCTTTAATTGCGAATTTTAATGAGTCGTCTAATTATCATCTATAATCTTATCGTCGTATACGCGTTTGCGAGAACGCATTGTGTTTACACGATATCAAGTGATGTCTTTTCTTCAATTTTCTTTTTTTTTTCTTCTTTTTTCTTTTTCCTTTTTCTTTTTTCCTTTTTTCTTTCTATCTTTTTATTTTTCTATATACAGACCATATTAACATTTCAATCAAATCTATGTGCATTGAAAATTGCAGACTGTATTGATCTAGACGCGGTGCATTTTGATCACCCAAGTAGAAGCAACGCCCGAAGATGGTAAGTTGTCCTCATGATGTGGAAGGAGTTTTTGCACAAAAATAATTGCCATTTTAACATGTAAGAAATCCGCATCTATGATAGAACAAAAAAGAAGTAATTTATTTACCGTCTCATTTCAAGTGTCTATTATATATCATATATAGACATAGGGGGAAAAAAAACAAATGAAAAGGAAATTCTTCCAAGTATCTATTTTTTACGCATGTAAAAAACAGTGTCTCGCGCGCGCGCGTATGTATATATGTATAGTATATATAGTGGAACATACATACATAAATATATATACATTTATACATCTATATATTAAATATATGTATATATACACGTATATATACACGTATATATATATATATATATATATATATATATAGATATGTACATGTATACATGTATACAAATATATATGCATAAGCTACATGACGATCAAAGTGTGTTTAACGTATGCAAATAAGGAGATGATATAAAAGATGAAGAAGACGTTCAATACGAAGATTCGAAATTAAAGAAGAAGACGGCCTAATGACCAACATCGGGGATTGTGTGGAGTATCTTTTCATACTTCGATATACGTTACCTCATAATTAATTAAAAGTCTTGTACCTGTATAATAAAAATTGAATATTTTATTCCTTTCTATGATATATAAATGTATTTTATTAATTATCAAATATTACATGGAATATTATTTCTTTTTTGAAAAAAGAGATTATAAGTACAATAAGAGATTATAAGTACATAATATATAAGAAAATAATAGAAAATATTAAATCAAAGATTAGAGATACATGAAATATTTTTAAACGCCATATTTATCGCCGGGGAAGTCTCCCTGATTATAATATTTGTGCCAAGGTAATTTTCCACTAATACGAAGCTCATCCCAATTACGAATCCAGTCATTCGGACAAATAGAATGAAAAGCTCGTTTAAACCACGTGCATGCTTCGTGTCCTTCCCCAAGAATATGTTCGCATCGATAAAAATCCGTATACATGACATAGCATCGTAATGTTTGATTTTGTTGTTGAAATCTTTATTACGTTGTATAACAATTTTTTAAAAAGTTGATCTATTATATTCATAGCTTACATTTATCTATACCTTGGATCTGATCCAGGAGTAGAGGTAAACTTCTGTTTAGTTTTTTTTTTATCCTGCAAGCACGGATCATTTTCGTCAACCTCGATCGTTATTTTCTTAGAAGAAGTTTTTTTTTCTTTAAACGATTTAGGTGGAACATTATCTTTTTCATTGTTTATCGACATAAACGACATTAATTTATTTAAATGTTTTTCTTTAGTTTCTAATACTATTATTTTTATAGATATAATACGGTAATAATTGAATGCTAGTTTTGGCTTGATTGATACAATAAAGTTCTTCTATTAAACTGCTCGATTGATAAGACAAATCTCTACTATTATCTACTTGTATAACAATTGCATAGAGCTAAGGGCAATTATTATTTTCAAAATAATTTAATAAAAAGAACTAACGAAGACAAAATACGCTCGTAAACAATTTTGAGCTCCAAAAATATTGATTATAAGAATATGAGTTTTATAAGAAAAGGTAATTATTTCCAATTACTTCACTGTCCGCTTTAATTGCTCCCAATCATTAAATCAGAGTTAGGCTTTAGGTCGAATTCTTTTTGTTCTATAATCTTTTTTATGCATTTGAATATTTGCTTACGAAATTTAGATTTATCTTCCTCATCTAATGATTTAATCAACTCTAATAATTTATTAAGAAATGCCCAATCCTCGTCCGTTTCCATCAATTTACTTGATAAATATTTGCCTAAAACATCTGAAACATCTATCTTTTTTCCCGTTTCTGATTCAATCTAAAAAAAATTCACACAATGATCAAAATAAACAGTCGAATAAAATAATGAAGCATTATACACACAATAATTTTTTTCATTCATAATAGTTTACTTACTGTTATTCCTTGTTTTTTCTCATTCTTAAACATTTCGTCACTTTCCAGATTTGCATGATACCAACTATTCATCATAGGTGGAATATCTTTTATAAAGTATAACAGTTTTCCTAAAGGTGATAATGAGCCATTTGCTTCATCGAAATCCATTTCGATGAATGGATTTTCTACAAAATACATTTCTTGAATGGTCATCCATTTATGTCTTGTTGCTCTTACTAGAATAAAAAAAAAAAAAGGATAATTTAGATTTTAAATATATTGTAATATTGTAATTGCAAGAGAGAGCGCAGTTAAACTATTGTCCTAAACATCCTGCTACTGAGAATGCAATGTCAAAGATTTCTTCGTTACGAAGAAATTCATGCAAATTTTCATTATTGTTTGGTGGTCAATATAAAGGAGGAAATTCATATCTTTAGAAATATTAGAAATATATCAAAAAATTACGTTGCTGTGCCGCCTTGTGTATTGATCGTCGATGAAGAGCATTTTGGATTAGATGAAAATTTACTCAAATGTTCTTGTAATAGGATTTTGAATTATCGGTTATCACGAGATAAACATTATATTGACTTTACATTTGATACAAAGTCAAACAAATGGAGAATATATAATATCGATTATGCCGTTGATGTTATCAAATGCATTATTATTTTAAATTTGACGTTTGAAAGATTCTACGACAATTAAGTGCATTCTTGACGACATATCGATGCATGGAAAAATTATTTTGATTATTTGACAGATTATTACAAAAATATAACTTACAAAGTTTATCTTGTATATGTTCAGGTAACTCCTTGTAATTGTTTATTAATTGGCAGCATATATCGATCCACGTTTCCCTTCTTTTACTTCTAACTTCATAATCCTTATGCTTTGGATCCCATAAAATTCTTCTTTTTTCTACTTCTTTGATTAATGCTATTGTTAGATTCTCTTTAGATTCCATTTTTTCAATCGAAAAATTGACAAAATCTCAGATTAAAACAACGATTATTATTCAGTAGTATAGATGAGTGAAGCTACAAAGAAAGAACGCTGAACTATTCCTATGTTTAGGGTCAAGGGTTCTATTTATAACCGGAAATAGTACGTTAGAAGGGCCATCGAAAGTTCTGGTAAATCATAGATTTACGAAATTATATGAACGTAGACTAGAAATATATTTATTTACTATTTATTTATTTTTATGTCAAATGCGAGATGATACGTTGAATATATAAAATGTTCGAATGAGTTTTTAAATTCAGAAAAGGATTATTTTGATTTTGAAATATAATTTTTGGGATAAATTTCGTCGAGTTCACTAAAGAAAAGTATTGCCAATATTATAAAAAAAAAAATAAACGATTATAAAACATAGATATTAGGTATGGAATTTTTCCAAACGAGTACGGTATTGAAACAATGTTCGTACTATTAATAATAGTTTGTACTTTTGTGCTGTTAATATAGGAGCAAATATTATAAATCATTAAAAACAAACTCTTGCATTTTATTCTCATCGCTTTACTTATTTTTCGGAATATATCTTGTGCATTTGTATGCTCGTTTATCATTTTCACATTATGAAAATTAAAAGAAAATCAATAAAAAAAAAAAACATTAACAACACAATTTTAGGAACAAACAATTCCCTGTTTTGTTTGTACTAACCTTTATTTGACAAATAAAAAGTATTCATTACAAATAATTGTAAATTGTTATCTTATATAGTACACACATTGTGTTAAATGAGCGAACGAATGGTTCTCTCTCTCTTTCTTTACATTTTTCTTTCATTCAAATTCACTCTCTCTCTCTCTCTCTCTCTCTCTCTCTCNTCTCTCTCTCTCTCTCTCTCTCTCTCTCTCTCTCTCTCTCTCTCTCTTTCTCTCCTTGTTAATCATTTTATTTTATTTTATCTCTTTCTTGGATATACACAAGCAAATATTCGATCGCGCACATAATCTTTTCTTCGTGAATCTTCATTTTACGCATATATCTTTTCTTTCCTCCACCATTCCATTAATCATCCCTTCTTATATACTTGATGCTTACTTTCTTTTTAATATACGTACACACATACGCACATAAATGCATGCATAAACATTCGGACAGATACACACACATGCGTACGCGCAGCACGCTCGCTTCTTTTTACTGTTCAAGTAATCTTTTTTATTTTTATTTTTATTTTTATTTTTATTTTTATATATATATATATTTTTTTTATTTATTTATTTGTATATATATGTGTGTATGTGTGTGTGTGTGTGTAGGATGTGTAATTTTTATCACTGTAAAACATGATTATTACGATAAAAGTGTTGTTCTTTTTTCCCTTAAAGGGAAAAGAAAAAAAATCATCGAAACAAAAAAATGCATACGCTCAACACATACAAAATGGCGGCTTTCATTGTAAGGAAATATAGTTTTGATTTTTATAATAATCTTTTTCTTCTTCTTCATCAACCTTGTTGGGATTAACCGGCGACATGTTTTCTCGATTAATTGTAAGACACAAAGGGGGAGGTGGTGGTCGTTCTCAAACGACGAACGATCTATTTGTTAAAGATTATGTTTGTTCTTTTTTTTCTTTTTCCCCAACGAATCGACTTTGTCGCGTATATTTCGCACTTCGAAGTTTATCTCTCTTCTTCTTTTTACAATATAATAATAATAATAATAATAATCAAAATGGATTACTTAAAATCTTATTGCTTTGCATATTTATAAATAAAGGGGCCGGGGGGGGGGAGGGGAGAAAAAAAGAGAGAGAGAAGAATATATTTTATGTACGGTATAAGGAAACTTTTTTCAAAAAATATTTTTCGTAATGGAACAATTTTATAAGAGTAATAGTAATAATAATAATAATAATGACAATGGTAATAAGACAATAAATTCCTTTCAGATTTACATACGAATTTTTTATATCTTTCTTTCTGTATATATATATATATTATTTTTTTTTCTTTTAAACACATTTTTATGGTTGTAATAGGTCAATATTAACAAAAATAAAAATTGCAAGTAAAAATTTGATACAGGGATGGTAAAAAATAATCGAAGGTATACGCGCACTCAACAAACACGCTCGATTCAGCATAATAATAATATTATCAATACAAAAAATTTATATATATATACGTATATATAAAGAAAAGAAATCAAGGAAAAGGAAAGAATATTGATGAAAGAAATGATTCATCTTTCGAATAATTATCGTAAAGATCTATTAAAACAAATTACAATATTATTTAATTATAATTA